TATTGTTATTATTATTTACACAAGTCAATGCCTAATGGTGAAACGGTGGCACGGTCGTTCAGGGATTCCATGTTTTTCATGGTGGCCTAGCTTTGATCGACTCATGAGTTTAACTATATATATATATATATATATATATTGGTTAACAGATGAGACTTTGACCATTTCTTAAGTAAACACATTCACTTATTCATGTGATCTATCAAATTATTGCAGACATTAAAAATTACTTAGTTAAGCTATATGTATTGATCATTATGCATGCATATTTCAAGCGTATCAAGGTAGGAAAAAGGGTTGAAGTCTTAAATTGATATATATATATATATATATATATATATATATATATATATATATATATATATATATATATATATATATATATATATATATTTATAAGCAGAGCAGGATGCTGACTAGCAGTGGAATCCAGTACGCGCATTTCGTTCTATTTAGAACTGGTCAGCTAAGTGGGTAACGCGCTGGCGTTTAGAGCGAGCGGTATTGAGTTCGAGTCCCGGAGTGAACAGCAACTTTAGGATACAGATACATCTAGCCGATGAGTCCCAAATAGGACGAGACTTGCGTCTTGAATTCTACTGCTAGCCACCATACATCTCTGCCTGTACCGTATGTAATTTAAGGCATTATCGAGGTACTCCGCAAGGTATACACATATACCAATAAGAGACTGATCAATTACCGTACTAAACATCAATGGGAAGATTCAAACAACCAATACAAAAATGCGTTGCATATATATTTGTACACCCACACATCCGTTTGTCAGTAAAAAGATCATCAAAGAAGTAATAGTTCAAACAAGAAATACCATCATTATGATATTTAGACAGGGTACAGTTTTAATCAACTATAAAATAATACTTAGAAATGACTGAAATTGAAAGTCTCGATCAAATTATGTACTTAAATATTCCTTTCCTATTTCAATCAGTTAAATGTTTGTTCCCAATTAATAAATTTTCTTTTAAAAACGGAATCCTCCAATGTGTTATTATAGTTAAACATTATGTATTAATAAGCTTCTGGTTAACGCTTTTTAGCGAGTTAATTTTCTACGACATGAAGTCGCTAACCACATGTGGGTGGGTTAGATAATGCTGGTCGGCGGCCTATGCTCCATTGGGGTAAAAGGCATAAGTAAGTAAATAAGTAAGTAAACAAGTAAATAATCAATATATATATATATATATTGATTTATACGTTATTTGTGCCCTGGAGCCATTGTGCATCATTGGTACGAAATCAGGGTGTTCCAACTCTTCTAGGTGAACCCCTCGTGTTCACCAACTCGGTTAAACCGCCGGACATTCGCTTTTCATCCTCTCAATTTTCTAGACCCCCCCGTCAAGATAAGGCAGCGATTAGGACTTCTCTGGCAGTAGTTGTATGCATGTGGCCACTTGAGAGCATTTCGAGAGGGCTAGTTGACTCTCCCCATTCTCGGCCGTACCAGGGCATTCTGGGGCTTACATATATATATATATATATATATATATATATATATATATATATATATATATATATATATATATATATATATATATATATATATATATATATATATATATATATATATACTTAAAACTTGTATCCATATCCCACATGTAAGTTAATTGAAATTGAAGGGGATAAAATCTGTTTTTTATTCTATTTCTTTAAGTCACAATTTATTTCATACCTTGAAATAAAGAATATTTGTGAAGATTCCTTTGGCGACAAATTTGAAACATTTTTTTACTTATTTTGTAAAATAGTGCAATGTTATATATAATTTTTTAACAATTAATTATCTAATTGAAATAGGGTTGTAATATATTAATTATACTACTGTCGGTAATACTGATTTATTATCCAATGTGGTTATCACATTGTTTTTGTGTACTGTTATTATTTATTGTTACGACTTACCTTTAATCTGTCTAGTTGACCTTTTAATTTTTTTTTTATACATAGAAATGATGTATTAACAAGTAGATTATGTGTGATCAAATTGTTCGAAACGTATTGCGCAATTATATTACATAGTTTTGATAAATTTCATCTTTTTATTACATTATCGAAATTTATCAAAAGGATTAATCCCAATAGTTGAGATCATGAGTCAATTGAAGTTAGACCACTATGAAAAACCTGAAAGCACTGGAAGGCCGTTTCGTCCTATCGTGGGACTCCTCGTCAGTGCGAAAGCACGATCCCGCTTGCGCGATTCCAACACAGGACCTATCGGTATCGCGTGCGAGCGCTTAACTACTAGACCAATGAGCAGGCCGGAATCCAACCGTGTTAATGTCTAACTTAAACTAATTCACGAAATTGAGCGACACATCCATCATTGTCATTAGTGAGTTACTATCCCACAACAGATCTGATTGAACTCCAATGGTCACTGCTTCTCACTAGAACTCCAAGATATACCTCATGATGTCAGTCACTAGTGAGCATATGTTGGTACATATATGAAGGGGTTTTGTTTTAATTGTTCTAAATTATATTACTATTGAAGATAAAATGATGAAATGTATTAATGACATTAAAGTGATAGGTTAGAAAAATTTGGCGTTACATTTTAATCCATGAATGTGCTGTACTATATGTATATGTATATAGTAATACTAATTCGATTAACATTATGTTGTACATGTACGACATTAAAATAAACCCAATTCACCGTAAAACAGTAAACGCTATATGTGTGTAAAGAATGTTTTACGAGTTTATAATATAAAAATTTACATTTGATGCTTATAATGACTAAGATTGCTGGTAAATACAATTTATAAACTTAAAGGATGATTTATTTTAATGAAACATTGATAAATTTCATATTCACAATTATTGCTAGAAATCATTTTATGAAATTGGTATAACATTCAATGTTCATTTAAGCTTTTTGTTTTCGTTCATTTATTTTAACTATCTTCAATATAAACTCATGAAATAAATACATAATAAACATTCGCACTGTTGATGAGTCCCATACTAGGACGAAACAATCGTCCAATGCTTCCAAGTTTTTCATGGTGGTTTAGCTTCAATTGACTTATGAATTCGACTAATAAATTGATATCTATAACTGTTGGAGATTATTCTTAATACTTTGTGTTTATTTAAATCCAATTTTAAGTCTTTGTATTGAAGAAATGTGTAAATAACAGTTCAGAAAGTCCTTCTAGGTGTTCTACTTTACTTTTTAATTACATTCATCCTAATTCATATTATAGTGTTCATAATTCTTAAAAAGACTATGCATTTCACAAGTAAATCTTAAGATTTCATTATAATTTGTATTTATTTAAGGTTTTATATGACTAGTATCATAGAGAATGTATTTTTAAACATGAATACTTAATGTGAGTAGTAGTTGAAAATGATACAGTTAAGTTTAAAAAGCTTAATACAATTAAACTGATTCCAGGTAGTAATTAATGTGAAATTTACTTTACTGATCTATATACGTTTATAATTTTATTAAAGAGTAACAATCTAAACTAGATTGCGGTTTTACCATAGTTTTCTTATATTAACATACGATGTAAAATGTCACACTATTTCAGAAGTTTATAAACGAAGTACTTATAAATGGTTCTAAACTTGGGGCGGAAACCTGGAGAACTACGAAAGCCATCATTCAGAAGATACAGGAGTTTATTAACAGTTGTCTACGCAAAATACTTCAGATCCGTTTGCTAGACACTATTAGCAACAACCAACTATGGGAAAGAACAAACCAGATCCCAACGGAGGAAGAAATCAGGAAGAATCACTGGAAGTGTATAGGACACACATTGAGGAAAGCATCCAACTGCGTCACAAGACAAGCCCCATTTGGAGTCCTGAAGACCAAAGGAGGAGAGGAAGACCAAAGAACACATTACGCCGGGAAATGGAGGTAGATATGAGGAAAATGAACAAGAATTGGATGGAATTAGAAAAGAAGGCCCAGGACCGAATGGGTTAGAGAATGCTGGTCGGCGGCCTATGCTCCATTATGAGTAACGGGTGTAAGTAAGTAAGTTAGTATAAATGGTTCTAAAGTTTTATCAAATTGTCTTTGCCAAAATAAATGTTTCTCATATATACACATAAATATTTTTTTCTGTATAACTAATGGGTAGTTAAGGATATGGATTTAAACAAAACTTAGAGTGATAAAACTATTAAAAGACATTTGCTTCTTATTGGTTATAAGGATCATACAGCTGTTTCGTCCTTAGATAGGATTCTTTGGAACAGATAATCTTAATTTTTTTGTAATTACATCATTATTTATGCAATAATATAAGAAACATTTTTAAAAAATTCAAACATTATTGACTGGAATTATTTATCACGAATGCAAGTGTTCAACAAGTTTGTTTTGTAAACATATGTTTTCCAAAAATCTATGAACCTGACATGTAAACGTATAACTGGTCTTATTACTATTATCATTATTATTATCACATATAAGTTATTGAATCCTAATTACTTCAGTAAAACACCAAATCAAATTAAAGCTTAAACTTAAAGGATATTCATTATGATCTGATTATATTTAATTCTCAGTATGAGGCCATGGAAATTGTTAAGTTTTTCATTGAGATCATGAATCGATTGATGTTAGACCAACATTGATATTACAAAGATATATAATCACAAATGAAATATAACATGTATATCTAAAATTTAATAGTTAAGTTCATGAATCAATGAAAACTAGGCCACTATGGAAAATATGGAAGAACTAGACGGCTGTTTCGTCTTAATATAAAACTCCTCAACTATATGCATGAGAAACTCAAACTGAAAATCTATGATCTTTTACGCGAAGGCTTAACCACTAGACTAATGTCTAACTTTAACCAATCCATCAAATTGTATAATCATCTTCCATTATTTAATTCAATTTAATTATAATACAATTAATAATAGATCTCAATAGTAAAGTTTAAATATTCATAAAATATAATACTTTAAATCATATAAGTAGTACTTACTTTGTTATTGTTTACAAAATAAATATGAAATAAAATGTGAATATACACAATTTAATTTACTTTTTTATTTATTTATCATTCACCTTTATATAAGTGATTTATAATTCAATCATTGAATTATGATTGGTCAGTTTAAAATTTGCCGAAATTCAATAATCTATTTAAACATTTATCTTTTTAATATTAATTATTTAATGTATTTTTTATAGAATATGTAATGTACTTTCTTTAAATGAATTGAATAGAGTTTATTTCTCTTTCTTTCTTTTTCTTTCCTTCTTTCTTTTTCCTTCCTATTTTTTTTACAAATAATGATTTACCTGTAATATATTTCTGTCAATGACAATAAATTATATTCCCAATGGGTTTATCCATATGGTTATTTTTTAAGTAAATAAGTAGGTAAGTAAGTAAGTAGTTTGAGTCACAGTAGGTATTTCTTTTTCTTCTTCATTTATTGTAAGCAATCTTATTAAAAGTTAGTATTTATTGAAAGTAAAAATTCGGAGTAAAGGGAAAATAGTTCATGTCTATTGTATCTCTGTATAGTTTAATCATGTAACAAGTAAAATTTATATCATTTTCGACAAAAGGTGAAATACATCATCTAGATGATATAAGTGTCTATTAATAATTGTCTAAATAATTTTTAGAGCATATTTATAATTGAGGAACATCTGGAACTCAAAACAATTGTCAACCAACACCAAGGTCAGGATTTTTAATACAAATGTCAAGACAGTTCTACTGTATGGAGCGGAAACCTGAAGAACTACGAAAGGCATCATCCAGAAGATACACGTGTTTATTAACAATTGTCTACGCAAAATACTTCAGATCCGTTGGCCGGACACTATTAGCAACAACCTAATGTGGGAGAGAACAAACCAGATCCCAGTGGAGGAAGAAATCAGGAAGAAGCGCTGGAAGTGGATAGGACACATATTGAGGAAAGCACCTAACTGCGTCACACGGTAAACCCTCACATGGAATCCTTAAGGCCAAAGGAGGAGAGGAAGACCAAAGAACACATTACACAGAGAAATGGAGACAGATGTGAGAAAAATGAACAACGATTGCATAAAAATAGAATGCAAGGTATAGGGCAGAGTGGGTTAGAGAATGCTGGTCGGTGGCCTTTGTCTCATTGGCGGTAACAGGAGTAAGTAAGGTCTCAAAAAGAGATGTATTTCGCCTAACATACTTCGAAAACTCTCTTAGTATTGGGTACTTGTCAAGGTATTTGTTAGTGAAGGCCTATTTAGAAAGAATATTTTTGAGTCTTTTTTTAACTACAAGCTTGAGTATATAATATGTAATGACAACAACTGTTTTAAATCTTTAATTCCATTGTGACTTTATCCGTTTTGTGAATGTCGTTTTCTGACAAAGAATGGAGAATAGATTTCAGTGTAGTAACCTTCATTGAATATCATCAGCTTTAAACCTAGGTAGAAATGAATATTTCTGACATTCTACTCGCACCTAATTAACATGTTTTGACGAGTCTGTAACTAGTTTCTGCTACAAATTTTATCATCTACATTTATCTTTTCCTTCCCGTTTATTGTTTTGTTCAATTGACCATTGGCTATATGGGGGATTGGTTTTTTCCCTATGGATAAATGAAATCAAATTGATGCTAACAAATCTGGTTATTTCAGACTGACCTGACTGACATGCTTCTATAAATCTTTTGACGTTCTCAGAATTTAATCGACACTCAATTTATCCATCTTCTCACCACTATTTTTTCGTGATTACCTGCATCCAGTAATATAGTTGATAACATGCTATGATATTTCACTTTTAGTCTGTATTCGGACTTCATTGTCATTTACAGTGTTTCTCCATATTACCGCAATTTATTTTGTAGTCGCTATGTGTTGGTTTATGAAAGAGAATGATTCTGAATCATTCGAGTATTCCTGTGGTGATTTTCTCATGTAACAGTTCAAGTCGTCTTCTGGATTAAGTAGTGATTTAACACTGAACCATTGTTTCTCTAGATACTTCTTGACGAAGTGACCCTATAAAACGTATTGTATTAAAAATTGTTCTCTTTTGTATGTGTATGAAAAACGTTGCATCAGGCTATCGCAAAGAGTGAAATCAAAATGAATATGAGGATATTAAGTAGTGAGTAGCATGACCAAGCTCATTGAGAAGCTATTTTTAAGTAAGATGCACAGAAGATAGGATCCTGCAATTTTTCAAGTAGGATGAGTGATGTAGTGGAATTCGGTTCTTCTTAGTAGTGTTTGTATACTGTCCAGTCTTGAATGTTTTAAACTACATATATATATATATATATATATATATATATATATATATATATTCAAGTCTTCGGATCTTCATCTAGTCCTAATATTTGAGATCCCATTGGAGTTACATTTGGTTCGTTTATGCAACTAAACTTTGCACTGGGAACATGTTGTAGGACTCAATTTTCCAAACATTATCAAACTTGATCGTTATGTTTCGAGAGTTAATCGACGTTTCTGAACAGTTCTAATGGGTACTAAGTGACACATTTCGATTCTTTTGAAGTAAGTAAATTCATGAAAACGAGGGACACGATTATTTCATCACTCCTTAGATATAAGTTCCCATTCATGTCTAAGAATCTAATTGGTTAAGTGTTGTGTCCCTCATCCGACTGTTAAGTACTTGAAATCAGAAACCAGAGTTGTTCCTACGACACAAAGTATGATGTAACGAATATTCATTAAGAATGAATATCACACTGAAAATAAAATCAGCATTATGTTGAGCAAATTATTACACTAAAAACAAAAGGAATATTTTTTTGAGCAATTAACCCAATGGATTGAGAGAACTCTAATTACGTCTTTTTATACCACTCTATCGAAAACTGGTAAGTAGTTGTATGGTTAGGTTCGATGCTTCAACCCCAACAAAGATATTCTCTTAGGTTACATACTTTCACTCGAATCATATTTGCAACATATAATACATAAATATTAGATGATAATAATGTGAAACTCAAAACAACTGTCAATCAATATCAAAATCACAATGTTCAATATGAACTTGAAGACAGTTCTACTGTATATTGCTGAAACATGGAGAACTACTACAACCATCATCAAATATGTGCAATTACTTATAAACAGATGTCTACGAAAGATACTCAATATCCGTTGACCGAATAACATCAGCAACAACCTACCATAGGAGAGGACAAACCAGGCTCCAGCTGAAGAGAAAATCAGGAAAAAACGTTGGAGGGGGTTAGGACATGCAATATGGAAACAATAAAACTTCATCACGAGGTAAGCAATAACTTGAAGTCCTGAAGGGAAACAGAAAAGAGGAAGGCTGAAGAACATACTACATCAAGAATCGGAATCATATATGAAAAGAATGAATAGCAACTGAAAATAACTGGAAAAGCATTGTTCAAGATAGAGTTGGATGGATAGTGCTGGTGGTCGGCCTATCAGTCTCGCGCGCGAGCGCTTAACCACTAGATCAGTGAGCTGGACGGAATCCAACGGTGTTAATGTCTAACTTCAACTGATTCACGAAACTGAGTGACATATCCACCGTTATCATCAGTGAGTTACTATCTCACAACAGACCTGTTTGACCTTCACTGGTCACTGCTTCTCGCTAGAACACCAGAATATACCTCTTGGAGCCGGTCATTGGTGAACATATATTGATTAGTATCAGAAGGGGTTTTGTGAATAATATAGTGATTTCAATAGTTGAGATCATGAGTCAATTGAAGCTAAACCACCATGGGAAACATAGAAGCACTGAATAGCCTTTTCATCCTATTGTGGGACTCCACAGCAGTGCTCATCCACGATCCCGTGGACTAATTAATAAACAAAGCGAATCAACATTAAAATGAGTTGAAACATGAATAATTCAGAAAATATTAAAACTAAAACAAAAAAATTGTTTTCAAAAGTTTTAATAAATATGATTTATGAAGAGAATGCTTGACTGCAAACGTTTCTGTAAAAAAATAATTTAAAAGAGAATATAGAAAGAGTTTTCATTTATACTATTTATTTAAATAGTTAATACGTGAAGAGATATATACCGTAAATCAACTTAATGAAGATTTATCTTTTTCTTAGGATTGAAAGATAATGTTTAAATGAGTTAAATAAATTATTAAATGCCTTCTCTGATAGAGAACAAGCCAGCTTCCAGCTGAAGAAGAAATAAGGAAAAGAAGATGGAAATGGATAGGACATACATCAAACTGCATCATGAGGCAAGCCCTAACTTGGAATCCTGAATGGAAGTGCAAAAGAGGAACATCAATCTCAGCATCTGCGATATGTATCATTTATTACAAACATACGGGGTTTATATACCAATCAAACAGACCACATCATACCATAAAATATGAAACAACATTTGTACAAGTTTTGGCCAAATGTGGCTGTGGATATGAGAGACTGTAATTAATAAAATGGGCATAACTTAATAGGAGTAAACCGTATAATAATAGTCTATAGGTCAAAATAAAGCTTATAATAAGAGGAACATGAATATGCATAGCTTAGTGACTTAACAGTTCATAAATGGATCTCAACAGTTACCATTCATTATTCTTGTCGGATTATATATCAGAAGGCTAAACAAAATATAAACATTGAAAATAATACGATGGTATAGTTATCCAATTTGTAACCTTCCTAAAATGATTGCTGATCTCAACACACAGTATAGGACAAAGGGTTAAGAGTAAGGTTAACAAACATAACTTATAAACACAATACAACAATGACATCATGTAAAGAATATAAGCGATATGTTTTGTATAAACTTTAACTTAACAAGGTAATAAATCATTAAAGGTATATAAAAACAAAAAGACATGATCAACTTCTTAATTGTAATTCTTTCACAACATTTAACTCGAGTGTTTTTCTCTTTATTTATTTATAAAACTGAAGATGAAGGAATTCAATTTGATTCATGGTTTTTCTTGTTGTTGACTCAATGTAACTTACTGAAAGTGAAAAATTATTTTCTGAATTGATTTATTACTAAGATAATAATTTTCG